GGGGGGGGGGGGGGGGGGGGGGGTGGGCTAGGCCCACCCTCAAATTTTGAAAATTCTTTTTATTGATGTACATATATCACTTTGTTAAATTTTTTAAAAATAATTTTATTGTACCTACCCTAATATTTTTTGTATAAGCTAACACAAAATTACTGAGCATATTACAGACACGCTTCAGAAATGCTTAGATATATTTTGGACATATTGAAACTCATTTTGTAAAAAATTTTTACAAAAAATTATGAGCTTCTTTAAATATTGAATAAAAAGTAGGATTATTATGTAATAAAATATAAGATTATTTTATAAGTATATAAGAAACATGTTCATAAAATAAAGTAAAAAAAACATTTGAAATCCCAAGAGATGATAACAATGTTGTCCATGATTTTTTTACTAATTTTTAGCATCTCTTTACTCATAATCTTTGTCTAACGATATTTTTTTTCTAAATTATGAACTTCAACCAGTCTTTAATTTTTGGTTTAATTAATTTATTTTATTTTATTGTAGTCTTTAATTTGTCTAGCGATTACTATATTTTTGGATATAATTTATGATTTTTTTATTGTACTCTTAATTAAACTTGAAATTAATTGTAATTGGCCTACAATTAATTTTTTATTTTCAATGATTTTTTTTATTGNTTGTAGTCTTTAATTTGTCTAGCGATTACTATATTTTTGGATATAATTTATGATTTTTTTTATTGTACTCTTAATTAAACTTGAAATTAATTGTAATTGGCCTACAATTAATTTTTTATTTAAACAAATATAAATTTATTATTATTATATTTTTATTGATTAAAAATATTAATTAAAATTTAAAATTAAAGTGTCAACCTTAAACTAAATTTTTGGCTCCGCTGCTAATTCAATCGAGCCATAAACTGAGGTACGGCCCAATGAGCCACAGACTATTTGTCAGAGTCCTAGACATTGCATATATTCGAAGGCATTCATACAAATGACTTTCTCTTTTTTTTTTTTTTTCCACGTGGGAAGATTGTGGTGCATCTTGATCACAATGGAAATTGACAGAGTAAAAATAGCAAAAAATGGACAATCAAGTTGAAATGGAGCAATGTCAATGACTTTATTGTTTTTTTTGAAGTGAAAAGATTATCATGCATCTAGATTACAATGAAAATTGACAAAATAAAAATAATAGGAAAACGGTCAATCAAGTTGACACAGAGCGTTGTTAGTGCCATTTGATTTGAATCGGGAAAAAAAATCAATACTTATCATATTTTCATGACATACGTTGTTTTTCATCTAATTCGACTGTTTAGGCTTTGAAATTAGCTTTTTTTTTTCTCTCGTTTTATTGAAGATTTATAATATTTGTAATTTATTACATAAAATCCTAATTCGATTTTTGTCCATTTTTTAGTTAAACTCTAAATTTCATGTAATTTGATTTCAATT